CTCCAGCTGTAATGGTGTCACATAAAAGCTCCTGCAGAACGAGCAGTACCAGTGAATGAGGCCGCCGCTTGCAAGCGCTCCTGTCAGTTCTCCTTCGCAGCCCTCCCAGGAATTGTAAATGTCGTCACAGTCTCAACAAGACAGGTTTGTGCTATTTGCTGAAAATGTTTAATGTTGGATGTGCCTCTGTTTCTCTGCAGTGCACCAAATAAAATGTAGGATTGTTTATTATGACTTTGTAGAAGTTCAAAGACAGGATCTAAATGAGAAGAGCAGAAGCGCGCTGGCTAATTTACTGTAACATTCCAGTAATCTGCACAGGAGTGGAAGGCTGAGCAAATTAAAGAGCTTAGAGTGAGAGGAGACGAGAAGGGGAAGGATGGAGAGGTATGTCAGGTTCCCAGCTGCTGCATCCTCTGTGTCAGCATCTTGTCACGGTCTGACCCCTCTGACCAAACAGACATGAGCCTCACCACTCCACGCCGCTGTCTGTCTCCCCCTTATACCCACTGTGTGCTTCAAAGGTGCTTCAGCAGCCTTCCTGTTAAGACTAGTGAGAGAGTGGCAGGCATTATTGATTGAATATTTTAAATCTGATACCTGCAGATCAACACTGACATTCTGTCTCTTTTCTTTGCACCACTACGAGACATGTTGATGTTATTACTGTTGCATATCGGACCAGGGAAACTGACTAGTAGGACTTTAATCAGCAGCTTCGGGATATGAGCCAACAGATGTGAGATTTGGGTGGGGTGTCACTTTGAAATGAAATATTGCAGCTTTCGGAGGTACATACAAAAAATGATTATGTGTCAGGCTACATTCAGGACTGCATGTAAATGAAAAATGCAAGTGAGCAGTATTTCACCCTTTTGATGCATATGGCAAAAACCTTATTATGACTCGGTTGATAAAAATGCACAGAGAACTACAGTTGCGCATTGATCATTGAGTGGAGCCCAACCAAATGCCATGACACGTTGTTCTCATATCATTATATCAGCCAATGGCAATGTTCTTCTGATGCAACTATGGAAATACGGGGTACCAATACCAACCAATACTGCCATGGGAAAAAGAAAGCTCACAGGAAAAACTAAGTGCAGTCCATGATTCAGTTTTCCGGTTCTACCTTTAGAAACAATAACTTGAAGTAGTATGACTTTATCAGCCTTGATTACATCTTTGTGAAGGAATTTTAGCCCACTCTTCTTTACAGCACCGACTCACTTCATTGAGGTTTGTGGTTATTCATTTATGCATCATTGTCCTGTTGTAAGACCCAGTTTTGGGCAAGCAAGTCTCTGCTTTGGTCTCGTCTGTCCAACGGACTGTGTTCCAGAAGTCGGATGATTTGTTTAGGTGCAGCATTACAAAATTAAGCTGTGCTGCCATGTTTGCTTTAGAGGGAATATGTTCTCTCTTGGCAACTCTTCCAAACCAGCCATATTTGTTCTGTCTTTTTCTAATTGTACCATTATACACAACTTTTACCTAATGCTTGTAGAGTCTGAGATTCAGTTTTTTGTTTTTCTGGGGCTGAATTAGCTGGGAATTCCACTCCTGGGAGATTAGAATGTTTTGCACCTGTGAATAAAT